AAAGAAATAATTATCAGATGAACAATTGGGAACACCGCAAATCGAAAAGAGTAAAGTAGGCAACGTTGTGAACAACAAAGAATCTGAAACGCAAGACTGTGAAAGAAGACGAGGAGGTCAAAGTCCTCAAATATCTTTGGTATAGAACAAGGTATTGCCTGGGTCTAAAAAACTAAGGGACAGCAATCATACGTATTTAGTGGTAAAGAGGTAAACGAAGAAACCAAACGCGAGGATAGGGTGCCACGAGAAAATGTAACCTAGTATCCATGAAACAAAATATTCCGAATTATATTTTATAGCTATTACTGCTGGCTATGATCCTGCGGATAAGTGAAGAAGCGACCAGAGCAGGTAAAAACCTCATGAAGTAGAAAAGTTTCATTAGAACTATACCGCAGCAATGAAAGATATGTTCAAAATGCAATTAAAGCAAATTTTTCTAACAGGTATAAAATGAATCAACACCAATACAAAAACTTACCTTGGAAGTGAAACATTTTTTGATCAACGGTGATGGTAAAGGTACTATCGTCTTCGTCGTCTATTCCAACGATGGCACCCTTAAGAGGATGGTCAGTAATGCAGATTCTTAAAGCACGTTATATATGATGTTTTACTTTAAGTCTGACGCAACCTCTGCGTTGACCCTTCAGCATTTTTTCTTTAGACTAAACAGCGAAACGTGGCAAGTGGTGAAATTTATGATATCGAACACTGACTACAACACCCACCGTGTAATAAGAGAGTATACCGGCTTCTTCGTCGAGTACGAACCAGCGGTACTGCCAACCTTCTATTACGTTGGTCCACTTGCTCAGCGGTCCCTCCATGTGCTTCATGTGAAACTGTGAAAGGTGCTTCTTTACGGGTGCAGTATCGAAAGGTTCAGGTCTCGACTGATCAGAAACGAGAACTTCTGATTAACCATGGTACAGTAGCTAAATGATGTACAATCTAAGGATTATTAAGGCAATGGGATCGATTATGCTCGTTAATATTTCCAGTACAGTCAAGAAACAACTAGGACATGAATTGGCGTTGTCGCTCAGGGTTTTTGGAAGCTCACCGAAAGTCTATCAGCACATTACAGCAGCTTCATTACATTACACCGCAGTGAACAAAATGGTCTGGAGAAAGATGCAGGAGCGTTTTGAAACCATGATTAGAAAAGTAAGCCAAACGTATAGAAGCAGCTTCAAAAGTTATCTGCCAAGGATGAAATAATACAACAAAGGTTGTGAAACATTGTAGCGACCCGAAGATCTACGTTTGAGCAACAATGATGAATATTAGAGATGAAGTCAGAACTTGTGAATTTTCTAAGACTGCAAGCAAGAAAGAAAAAAGAAACATGACCCGCTGTTTCAGCATAAAAAAGACATTTATTATAACATCGAATGATCATGCAATGCATAATGCATGTAATGATGAATGCAACCGTAAGTTCAGATTTATGTTGATATAAGTGCACAAGTACTGAAAATAGTTATGTTAGTTAGTAAGTTAGTCACTTCAAGTCTTAGCCATTAATTTGGCGAATAGACCAACAGATTTCCCATTTGTGTTACACCTCGAATAATCGTCTAAGCAACGAAACGCACTGATTGTAACGCTTTCTCCTTAACGTGAATTATGTGAAACGTTTTTCGCACCAAACCTAAGTAACATGCACAAGTGACATCTGTCTTATCGACTTCGGTAGACTCTTCAGAAAGACAGTCTATAAGCGTTCGACAGCCAGTTGCCGTCCAACTTCAGTCATGGGTGCTATCCAGGGCACGCTTGTGAAACGAAAGTCACGTAACAATGGTGACTGCTGTTTCGACAACAGTGAAGAAACATGCCTTATGACGAAGGTAATTTTAGATAGTCATACAGAAGGTCGGCACACACAGCGTAGTCTTATTCAATGCTAACTTCTTAGAGCAAGGAAGCAACTCCTCTGTGATTCGATACAGAGCCAGCCAACCAGCCAAAAAATTGATACCTGGTCCCTGAACGGCGAATAATACGGACGGTGTGGTGCTGTGGTATGGTAACGCGAACAAGTGCGAGAGATTCCGCCATGTTACCTCATGTGTACGCTACAAGACTGCAAATGATTTTCAACAACCCGATCACTGACTAAAATTCAGCGCAAGCTCTACACGCATATTTCAGATCTAATTTAACTACTTATCTTATTAGTCGTACTCGTCTAATTATATCGAAATTTTAAAAAGCAGTAATTTCGACGAGAATCTTTCACGGGGTGGGCGATCTACAAACCGCATTATTCGTGCTATAAATACCAATAGTTAAAACAGTATAACGGAATATTTAATAACTAAGTCCTTCTTGCACAACCTGAATATAGTGGGAAGATTAGATCAGGTATTAAAAAGATGAATGGTTGGATAGCAGTTAGTCATTCATGAAAACAGAGGGCGTTACGAACAGCTGAGTTACGGATAACAGCGACTGAGGTTTACTAACGCTAGCAACGCATAATCGCAGATCAGTCGTAGATTAAGCAAGGCTTTAACAGCCGGAAGAAGAACTCAATAATATAAGGTGCGACACTGCAGGACTAACAAAGATTAGAAGAAACGAGGAAAAACTGTTTAAATTAAAAAGTGTACAATTATTGTCCTACAGAGAATCGGCACATGTATATACAGGGCAAGTCGGGTTTTTTATGCATGGAAGAATAAATAACAATATATTAGAAGTGGACAGCATGTTGGAGAGGTACGCAAAACTGGTTGGGAGAATTTCAGAGATGCGAACTCCAGGCAATCCAGACATGCGCGCCTCACCAAAACATGCTAATCAAGAAGTTGCGAAGAAATTTATACGAAGAAATAGAACAAATGCATCAACATGGAAATAGGCGCCAAAAAGGCAGCGCTGATAATTTCAACGCAAAAGCAAAGAAACGGATGCCCTGAAGGCCAATTTAGGTGCGGTAAAAAAAATGACAAGGCTGATCTGCGGATGGAGTTCGCTGAAAAGAACAAGTTATTTACCTTTCAAAAAACATGTAAAAATGGACATCGAACGGTCGAAACTATCTCAAGAATAAAACTGATTTTATCCTTAGTGAAACGAGAATGCAGGACGTCGACACGCTAAACAGATCTACTGTAGCAAGTGAATATAGGCTGGTTACATGTAAAGTGCTCTGGACCAAGACTTGGAAAAAAGGAGGTTGTTGAAGAACAGACACAAAATACTGAATAAGGAAAGAGTAACAAGGAATCTTTCACAAGTTCAACTGAAATCAAATAATTGATTCAAGGAGTTTCATGGAACGCAAGAAGAAGAACAAGAGAAGTACTAGTGTAATTTATCAGAATATAACGGGGAAGTTACCAAGTCGGGAGAAAAATTCTTTAAAAGAAAGAAACGATGGCGGACGGACAAATCACCAAGGAAAGGACAAAATGCAGCTGGCAACGGATTAGAAACCAAAGATGAAATACATCGAACTTTGCAAAACTTTACTGAAAAAGAAAAAACACGACATCTGGGCAATTATTGATTCAGACTGGTAAAGGAAACTCTTGAAGATTACGGAAGAATAAAAACTAAGACAAAGATCGACAATCATGCAACGGCAAATTTTAGTTATCAAAGCTCAAAGCAGAAGACAGGACTGCCGTCAGCGATAAACATGAGATTTTAAAAGGAGTCATAGATTTCTACAGAAAACTGTACGAACATGAAAACAGCAGCAATATCAAGAACCATGGAGAACATGGAGATACGAATGAATACCGAAATTGACGATATCTTGCAAGAAGTAATCGCATAAAACAAAACAGTAACAGCAACAAAAGCCTGATGACCAAACGAGCATTATGGCACAACTAGTGGAATCCGTGTGAAGCTCCTCCTTTCTAAACTGGACTTCGGGTCTGGCAAAGGCGCAGTTACCTATGAGGCTTCGCCAAGTATTTCACAGCCTAGTATTTCCACATTTCCGAGCAGCAGACAAGAAACGCTTGAACTGTACATGACAATAACGATGAATTCGTACAACTCTTAGCATACATTTTTCATTTCCTCCGAATAGCACTCATAGAGGACTTAGGGGTCACGATTTCCAACATTTTTATCTAGATGTCATATAATCAAGTTGTTTTATCTTTCTGTCGTTTCTTGAGAGCAATCGCAATATCTTCGGTCGTTCTTGATTTATCCTTTTGAAACAAGCACTTTGGCAAACATGTCAAAGAGCAATTCATCAGCTGCTGACAATGTTCACTGAGTCGATTGACATATACTTCCAATCGGAATACCATATCGTCATCCGAACACAAACGGATACATAACCATATACGAATGCTTGATCGACCACAGTAGACTGTTTCAATGAAAACCAATTTCTCTCTTCAGTTCGATGCTTCACTTTTGCACCTATCTTGCTCGTTTTTATCCTGGTTTTACTCAGTTTTCTCATTAATTTCTCATTCCGTCTGCCCAGAGACGGGAAAATAGGCCCTTTATAGTTTCGAAACTGTTTCATCAGCTGCATTTAGTAAGCAGCCAGAATTTTTTTATGAATGCAAATCACTTTCCTTTCTGACAGAGTATCATTCAGGGTGTCAATGAAAATAGCTTGTGAAGTCTCGCTTTTTGTGCAACCAAGCAATTAAAGACAACAAAGGCTGACGATGGTAAATCAAAGCACAACGAAGATTCCAATCAGCAACGGAGTCAGTACACTTTCTTAATCAAGGAGACAGACAGTGCAGGGTCATTAAACAACGTCACATAAGACTGCATCGGAGCGATGACGATAGTTGGAGCTTACAGCCAGAAATTGCAACATGGTATCAGTCAGAAAGAAAGAGCAGCAGCTACACGATGACGCTGCAAGGTACCAACTCGAAAGCATAGAACTCTCGTTAACTAAGCGTCAAGGCTCTGGAATTTTCAACCTCTGCCGGTGGAAACAATTCTACTCAAATGTCCACATCACCACCGCTGTTGGTGTCCTAGCACAAGACAACAGAATAGGTGAATGGAAGCCTATCAGTGAAAGAGTGGCAATACTTCGACAGAGACTAACACGGACTATAGCACTGACCCTATTACAGCTGCCTTGCGACTAACTCTGAACGAAGAATATGACTCCTTCCTTGAGGAAGTGGAGTGTGTTATGTGAAAAGTGCCGATTACGGAGTGAGTCAATCAAATGGTCGAATTTAATGCGCATGTCAGAGTAGAC